CTTCTATTAGTGCTAACAGAGTCCTATAGAAGAGATAAGAAGCCATTATCTGTGGAGTCTTGCTGGTCAGATTTGCCTCCTCGAGAGCTTTTGCTGGGGTTTGGAGTGGTTGAATACTTTGGGGGGTATCTGATGAACAGACGGTCCTCCTCCTTTTTAATCCATCTTAGAAGCTTAGTGATAGCAGTAATGGCACAGGCCTTTGTCACCAGGGGGCTGAAGCAGGTGTACAGCTCAAATTTACTTGTGACCTTGAGTAAAGAAGAAAACAATCAAGAGAAGACTGTGAAATACATTTAGGAATAAGAAATAGAGCTATTACATTTCTTGCTATGTTAGATGAGAACATCAATGATGCTTCAGTTAGGAGCTGGTTATCTTAGCTAAGGAAAATACCTGGAAGCAAGCTAACAGCTTTTTTTCAACGCCTTCTGAAAAAAGCTTCCCAATGAATGGACTATTAAGCCCCAGTTCCAAGGCTTTGTGCTAAGCTAAGCTGCCACTTACTGGCAACTGTCTTTCTTTTTTCTTAATTTTTAAAGGTATCCCGTTCAACTGCTCTTTAATGCAATTATCTAATCAGCCAATCACATGACAACAGTTCAATGCATTTAGGCATGTAGAGATGGTTGCATTTTCTGCTGAAATGATTTGAGTGACGCAAAGTGTGAGCATTTCAGAAACTGCTGATCCCCCCCCGAATGAGCTGAACATTGAAGCAGATGGGCTTCTGGCTTCTGTGAGCGAAACACAGGCTCAACTGAGGACTGTGCCATGAAAAATTAAGGAAGTTCTGAAAGCAAGAGAGGGTCCAACCAGGTACTAGCCAGGTGTACCTAATAAAGCGGTCGTTGACTGTTTTGAGTGTAGTGTCGATCTTTTGGAAGAATCATTTCAAAGTTGGACAAACACAGTAAGAAAGAATACAACCACAAACTAATGTACGTACCCAGGCTAGCAGAGTTTCCCTCTCAGCAACATGGTAGATAAGCTTAAGGGGTCGTGAGGTGCTGTGGATGCGGCCGTGCATATAACGATAAAGATCCAGCAGTCTCATTTTCTCCTCTTCACTGCTGTATGGTGCCTCCATCTCTGGGCTACATACAGAAAAGCATCATAGGACACAAGTTACACACAAAAAAACACCCAAAACATGTTCAATAACACTGTAGTGGAAAGAGAAACACACAATGCTTGATTTGTAAACTATTAAAACTCCATTTCTAACACCGACAGGACAATGTTGCCTAAAAGCCTAAAAATATCTTAGTGGGCACTTTTGTACTTCTCACACATGATTATTATCATTAGCAGCAAAAGGTTTTTAAACTTCTACACAGCTAGAAGATAATAAAATGTTATGCAAGACAAATATCACTAACTAACATGCAGCGCAAACACTCGGCATGTTTGCATTTTTAAACTCTAGTTTAGGCTCATATCAGCCTTATGCAACTGCAAGGACAGCAAGCATACACAAACAAACACACACCTGGTGAACTGAGTGAGCTGGCGGTAGTTGTCTGGCACATCAAAGGGCTTGTACATGAAGTGTCTGAGGTCTGAGACGCCCACCTGGCTCACACTGTACGTCTGAGCTTTGGCAATGAGGCTCAGGGAGTTCTGAGCCATCATAGCCTCCTCTATCTTTCTCTTGCACTCAGCTACAGAGTAAAAAGCCTCTTTGTCTGTCGAGAGCAGCAGCAAACAAACAGTGCATTCTGGAGGGTCCAGGTAAGAAATGTATGCATAAAAGTAACAGTCAGGATTAAAGAGCGGGAGGCAAATGGGGGTCCAGATCTCGCCAGCCTGAAAGGCAGAGGAAGCTCCAATGAGGTTAAGCAGAAGGTGAACATCAGCAGGCTCCAGCCGCGAGTCCTCAATGACTGTCCTCTCTTGGACGATGGTTAGAAGCTGGTTCTTGGCGATGAGGATGGAGAAAACGAGATTGGGTGTGATAGCTTTCTGCAGGATCTGGCTGAGAGAGTCCCTGAGAGAGGAGGCTAGAGGCAAGCAGTGCACTGCCGATAGCAGGAAGCTGGGGTCAGAATCCACTAAGTTGAGGAGACCATCCAGGATCTTTTCTGAGCCCGCTAGGAGTCTCCTCAGGTCGTAGTTTTTCTTGTGTTCAAAGATGCGGGATATACTGGCCTGAGTGAGCATGCTGATGATCTGATAGTAGACATAGAGGAGCTCTCCCCGCAGCTGCTGCTCAGACTGATGACTGCTGGAGACGCACACCAGAACTAGGGGCCCTTTCTGCAGGAACACTACGGTGTGCTCGTCTGAGGGAAGGGGGAAAAAACATGAGCAAATGTCAGAAAAAAAACAACACAAAAAAACAATCAATGAAAACTAAAACTGCTCCTAAGGATACCACCGATCCCCTAAACTCACTGTTCTCAAAATAAAACAATACAGGGAATGCACTGCTTATTATATTTCAGATACTGTTCTCTATGGTCCAGGAGCTTTTTGACAAGCTGGCAACAATTTTGCCCTGTACAGTGAGTCAGAGCCACACTTGCTCTTGTTGGTGTGTTTAAAAAAAGTCAGATTTCCTTTTAACGTAGTGAATATGAACATGAAAGTGGCTGGAAAAAACCATCATAGATAAAAATCTGTTCAAATTTGCATTTTGGCCGACGCCCAACATTCTTACCTGAGTAGACTGAGCGAATGATATTATCTCCACTTTGGACAAAAGACACCAGCGCCATCATCACTCCCATTGTTGATGAAAGAGCCTCTTCGCTGCCATATCGGGAATAAATGGGCTTACCGGCTTCGCTTAGCACAAAAACATGTTTCCTGTGCTGCCGCCAGCTGTCAGCTGTAACATCCTCATCGCGATGAGATGTAAATGACGAAGATTCCAGTGTGCCTGCCTCCAACAGCGGGGACGACCTCCCCTTCACACCTATACCTTGTTCTTCAAGCTTGGCCTTGGCCAGCATTGTTACAACAAATTCCCCAGAGTCGTTCTGGTCATTGTCAGTGGCATCATCTTCAGTTGTTCCATCAGTTGGCTGCGTGGACGCGTTGTTTTGGCACTCGGTTTCTGTCTCTTCGGGCTCTAGCTTCATCACTTGGTCAGAAGGAGGCTTCTCATCCAAACCGAGATGCTCTGCCGAAACATCTGGTGGGTGCGAATTCAAAGGCTCGATTCTGCTAACAGCGGCGCTCCCATTACTCTCTACTGAATCAGGAAACATGTGATTCTCCAAAAGGGAGAAGGAGGCTGCCAATGAGTCAGCTACAATGAAAACAAAAACCAACGTGTGATGTAAGTGATGAAGATTAAAATTAGACAAGCTTCAAAGAGTGATTACGTAGCTTATTTACCAGGTTGATTACTCTCTAAAGGGCTATCACCAATCTTCACTGCCGCCGCCTCTCCTTCTTGATGATTGGCTGTTTCCATGATACCATCCCAGTCTCTGGAAAGAATAAAGACAAAGAGGAATAAGCTGCTTTATAAATCATGCATTGTAGTTTTTGCAGATAAAAATCAGAGATCCCATGCATCTCCAGTCTGTTATGAATAGAAGCACTCATACTGGACCAGTGGTCAGGTCACATGATTACAGAGGAGAGTTACTCCAACTCCAAGTTACTAACACTGTGGAATTTAAACCTGATTACAGCTAGCAGTCTGTCTAATGTTACACTACATATCAACACGGAGAAACGGGACTAAGTGGCTGGTAGATTAAGAGCGCTAACGTCCGCATGATAACAACTTATCTACACATGCACGATAAATTTCAGACGTCCTGTAATGCTTACCTTTCTAATAAGTAACTAATAAATGAACGCTGACTGTAGTTACACGGCTAACACTGGGTGCTAGCAAGCGACACATACAGATCAATTTCATGGCCTTGGCTTAACAGTGCTCATGCAGCCAACCGTGGCTATCTAAAATTAGCCAGATAAACAGAGAAAGAGTGAAACTTACGGTTTTGTACCGTTGACGACTTGGACTGAATGTCTAATGTCAATACTGACTTTCATCAGCAGCCCCACTGCAAACAAGCTGTCAAGAATGAGAAGCAGAAAACAAATTTTCCCCTTACCGAAGCCGACATCCGGAATCTCTGATGACAACTTCAGCTGACCAATCAGCGCGCTCGCTGGCGTCGGTTAGTCCCGCCCCTCCCCACTCTCTGGTTGTGGGCTCGTAACAGAAACTTGAAGAGACAAATCTCAGATAAACGTGCAGCACATGTATGGGTGCTGCTGTAGCAGATATAATACAGCGAAACGCTTTCTGTGACAAAGAAAGAACGGAGAACTTAAACCCCCCCAATGTGAATTAAAACAAAAATGTTTTTACGTCTATATTGACCAATAAAATGTTTTTTTTTTCTGGATTAAACTAATACTTAAATCCAGTATTTTCCATTTTCCGTATTACACTGGTGGCTAATACTAAAGCTAGCATGTACTCCCGTCCCCAACTTGAACCTTCTGACATCTGTCGTTCCTATAGCACACCTCATTACCGTCTTGCTGTCCTCATACATGCCTTTAACCAGGGTCCCTCCTGACCGCCTTCTCATACAGTTCCTCTCCTGGCAACCAATCATCTTCTTCAAATACACAAACACACAGTGCAGGTAACTCTGACCTTCTCTATACTTCTCCGTCAACACTCACTGCTCACTGATAGTCACCTCTCTTTAAACGAGCTTCAACGACTCTTTCCCATATCTTCATGGCACACATGAATCGGATTGACGGTTTAGCTGAGGTTTAAAACAAAAGGGGGGGGGGGGCATAACACAACCTGGACAAATGATGTCGAAATATAGATTTTTATCCACGCACATTTGTTTAACTTCACTGTGTTGGTGCTGAAAGGCTCTGTTGTGTACGTGATGAAGTAGTCGTCCTGCGTACCACGTCACGTCCGATTGCCTCTCCTCTCCGTACGTAAACATCATAACGGTAGAAATGGGGAATATGACATCTCCAAACCAGAGTGCTGATTTATAAATCACTAAAACAGACACCGCAGCCCAGTCACTTAATTTGACACCAGTTGAATAAACGGACGCCATGGAGGAGCCGTGGGACTTTGAGTTTCTGTCCCGCATTGCTGACAGCTGCCTGTCGTTTCTCTCTGAGTTTGTAGACGACTGGCTCGCCAACGACATGAGAGTGTCCATATTCAAAATACTCCTCAGCTGGTTAATTTTTAGTCTAATCGCCATTCACTTCGCGTGGAAAGTCTATGGGAATACAGTGAACGATATGTATTACAGACAAGGTGAGTTTTTCCTCCTGCTTACCGGTGCGCTGCCTGCTAAGTGAGCGCTAACACGCTAGCTTGATCTGTGTGTGTTGATTTTCAGGGACCGGACAGAATGGAGGCACACCTGATACAGCTGCACACACGAGTGGATGGTAGGTGGCCGATTTCGGGGTCAGGTTTGCATTGCACAAGTGATTAATAAGAAATCGTGTTCATTATCACCGCACCATCACCAGTCACTTTATTAGGTAAACCTTGCTAGCACCCAGTTTGACACTCTTTTTGCCTTCAGCGTTGCCTTAATTTTCCATGGCTTAGATTCAACAAGTTGCAAGTTGAGATAATAGCATCGCACATTTGCTGCAGCTGTGTTTTGGCCTTACAGCCATTAGATGATGAGTACACTGTGATCACAAAGAGATGAACATGGTCAGCAACAATACTCGGGTAGGCTGTGATCCTCAGGCCCAGAACTTGACAAGAAAATATGCCCACACGTTTACAGCACCAACATGAGTGAGCCCATGTGAATTGTAGCCTCAGTTTCTGTGCTGTACTAAACTAAAGGGAGTGTCACGTGGTGTGGTCTTCTGCTGCTGTGGCCCATCACCTTCAATGCCCTACATGTTGTGCATTCAGAGATGCTCTTCTGCATAGCCCAATTCTGATGGTTGGGTATTCGAGGCACTGCCATCTTCCTTTCAGCTCGAAGCAGTCTGGCAATTCTCTGACCTCTTTTTGGGCACTTTGGCCCAATATGCTATAGCTTACTTGACATTTTCTCCTTTTCGGTCCAGTGTCTCAAAATCCTAGACATGCTTGTATGAAAAAATCCCAGTAGATCAGCAGTTTCTTAAATACTCAGACCAGCTCGTCTAGCACTTGTGCCATGCAGTAAGTTGCTGCCACAGTTGACTGGACAGAGGTACCTAACAAAGTGACTGGCAAGTGCATGTTTCACCACACTTAAATGGTTTATTAGATTTTGTTATCTTTGCAGGGAAGGTAAAGCAGGGGATGGTCCAAAGATTCATCGGGATTAATGGGAGCTTGATCGCTGGACTTTACCCAAGTGAAGGCTGGACAATTTGTATGTCCCACAGAGGCACGAAATGCACACCAGTTTTTGGTTTTTTCATTAACAAAGCGTTACCTTCCATGGATTAAAGATGGTGTTGAGACAGCTTCACCTTCTGCGAATCACTTAGCCATGCCATTGGACATCACTCTAACAGTGTTAGAGTGATGTCCACTATTCATACAATGTTTAATTTGACCTCTTGATACTGCTCACTAAGCAGGACCTTATCGTGCATAAAGAACTAAAAGGACGTGTTTAACTGGTCACTTGGTGATACGTGATCAAGACTGTACTTGAATGGTGCATGAAAGGAAAACAAATCATCATTTTCCAAGTAATGACACAGGATCACATGTATAGTTTTTGTAATATATATACATATATAATACGCTGATTTGAGTATTGCATTGACTTGTGTATGTGAATATTTATGATCCAAATAATTTGCAGTGAACTGTGTGATTTTGTTTTTGATTTTTTTTTTAATCTTTGCTGTATTATAAATGGTCATCTATGGTCATTTTAAAATCAGACACAATAAAAGCAGATCATGTTTTATATCTTCAGTCTTTATTTTAACAGGCATTTTGCATTTAGTTCATTTGAAATCTACATTAAGTAATATTTTGGCAAACAGTCAAAACATTAAAAAAATAAATAAATAAATGAAGCACAAAAACTTGAGGGGTATTGAAACAATACATTTTTCACCAAGGCCACTTTTAATGTTATTCTGTTTACCTCTGGAAAGATTAGCGGAAGTATACAAGAGAGGACTTTTAATTGTCACTGAGATTGTTGATTGTAACAACAATGTGATGTGTAATCTTTTCTCATATGTGCAGTAGTTACCAAGGGGGAAGATGCCGTATCTGAGCTACACTCAACAGAACCCCAATAGCTTACCATGAAGCTTAATGGCACAATGTGTAAAGCAAGCTGCCTTTTACAAGAAAAAGCCAAAGGTGCCAGATTACGTCAGTTTGTTTCTTTATGATAATATTTGTCTGTTAATGGTTCAAAATCGAGCTTATTACAAACTAAAAACTAGAGCTGGGTGCTTTTTTTGTTTGTTTTTTTTGTTTGTTTTTTAGTTAATTAAAATAAAAATACAAACTAGATTTTTTTGAGAAAAAAATAAACCGACACAATTTTTGGAACCTGGAAAAAAAACTGAAATAAATTAAAAATCTACAGGAAATATCTTCGGTTTTAAAATTAATTACTTTAGTTACTAAAATGTTTTTACCACAACTTGCCTGATGAGGCTTTGATGAACATATTAGGACGTGTAAAAGACTTTGAGTTAAGTCAAAAAGTTATTGTTTTTATTTTAATACCATTACTAAATCATGCCTTAATAATTAAAGAAATGACTTAAAACTAATACTGAAACTGGTCAAAACTAAACTTATTCAAACTGTAACTAAAATGAGTAAAACCACTCAGGCAACTATAATAAATTAAAAATAACAACAAAAAAACTAAAGAAAAAAGAAAAAAAATAGAACAACTGTAACCAAACATCCAAAAACATCTAATTAAAACTACTGAAGGATGGTGGAGATTTTTAAACTGTACAAGTGTTTTTATTACTATTATAATGGCAGTGTGTATTTCCAGAAATTTAAATTATGTACTCAGTCCTTGTAAGATGTGGGAGGGAGCTGGAGTACCCACAGAGAACCCAAGAAGACACTGGGAGAACCAACAGACTCCATAAAGAAACCCGGGAGCTTTTTTTGTTGTGAGACGTCAGTACTAACCCCCACCCTCACACTTCTTCATTTACTGTTTGCGTTGTAATGCTTTTACATATATGTCTGTTTTTTTCCAATTACATCTTTATTTACCAATACCAACAATCCTTCATTAGATTCATAAATATGGTGCAAAAATGTCTTCATAGTTTCCTTTAATTTTTTTGTGTTTTGGGATTATCTGATGATAATAGGAATAGCTGGAATCAGTAGCATGTGCACATCCATTACATTCGTGCAAGTTAGGCCGGGTACGAGTAATTGCTGCCCACCAGAAAGACGAGAAAAAAACGTGTAAGAATCATTGTTGATAAGGAAGTTGTCGATGTCCAGGCCCTGAGCTTTCGCTTCATCGTACAAACCACCATCAGTAATCGCCCCTGCTGCCTCAGTGGGTCCATCCTGACCATCAGTGCCCCCACTCAGAAAGACTGGCCCTTTAGGCGAAAGCCCTAAGCTTCTCAGTTCCAGCCCCACTCGCATAGCCAGCTCCTGGTTCCGACCACCTCGGCCTTTGCCTGTTAGCTCCACAGTGGGTTCGCCTCCAGCTAACAGACATGTGGCACCCCATCCCTCTGTACGCCCTTTTTCTAAAACCTGCATTGTACGGCAGAGGTCCCAGCTCTCCACACCAACTTCAGGGCCCAGCTTCAGCACCTCAGTGGCAATGTCAGGAGGAGGTTCCTCTCGAGAACAGGCAAAGCGGGCCAGCAGGCCGTAGAGTCTAGACACAGACCGCACATCTCCACACACACTTGGCGAAAGGACTACAGGGAGGAAGCCCAGCTCTCGAGCACGGAGACCAGCGTGTTTAAGGGCAACACCGTTGGAGCCAATCACAGCATTGAGAACATGTCCCGATGTATCAGATTCCTCCTTATTCTCTTTCCACCTAGAATTCGGTTTGTCAAGGACTTCCTTTACTGATGTCGGAAGCAAGTTTAACAGCTTGTAACGCTCAAGGATTGACAAAACTTCCTCAGGCCACACCCGACTCATCACTGTGGGGCCACTAGCTATCATGTCAATAGGATCCCCGATCACATCAGATAGTATCAGTGCAACAACCTGTGAAGACGTTATAAGAGTGATATTTGACATACAAATTACAATACTGAGAATTTTAAACTCTGTTTAAAAGAAGGCTAAAAAAACTGTCTGTTACCTGTGCAGGGTGAGCATGATGTGCAAGCCCTCCACCCTTTAACAACGAAAGGGCACGACGTATGGTGTTCAGCTCCTGAATAGTCGCACCAGCACCTGCAAGTCTGCAGGTAACATCTAGCTTTTCTTGCAAGGTGATTGGCGGGATGGGTGCAGGTAGCAATGCAGAGCCCCCACCTAAACAATGATGAAAACCAGCATGCGTTACAGATATCTTGGAGTCGTTTATGACCAGGATATGTCCACCAGTGTGTATATTAAACAAATATTTTCACTGCTTTTTTGCATTTGTGGAATTTCTCTAAAATTAGAAACATCTAATTTTAGAAATTGTTATTTTATTTATTTATAAATTTCTTCTAGGCTGTACTACTGTAGTTCATTATTATCGTGAACTAAATTCCCTGAAAAGCCTTTAGCCAATCTAAAATGCTGCAGAGTACTGACAGGGTCTAGAAAGACAAAGCATATTTCTCCCATATCGTCTTCTCTTCAGTGGCTCCCTGTTAAGTCCAGAATCAATTTTTAAAATCCTTCTCTTCACATACAAAGTCTTGGATCATCAGGCACAATCTTATCTTAAATACCTCAGGGTACTGTAACACCACAATAGAGCGCTATACTCTCAGACAGCGGGTTGACTTGTGGTTCCTAGTATTTTAAAAGTTGAATGGAAGGCAAAACCTTCAGCTTTTCAGACACCCTCTCTACTTTTAACATTAGGCTTAAAATTTCTTCTGACTGTTGGGGCTTTCTTTGTATTATTGAAGGGTCTTCATTTTACACTATAAAGTGTCTTGAGGTGACTGTTGTTGTGAATTGGTGCTATATAAACAAAACTGAATTTAAATTAATATTTTTAATGATATCTGTGAAACGATTATTGTTTTATTATTTTTAACAATAATCAAGAAGTGCCATTCGTACCTGAAATCAGTACAAGAAGCAAGTCTTTCTCTGTCAGCTCACTGACTAAATGCTTGATCTCCTCAGCTGCCTTCTGGGCATCCGGATCAGGCAAGTTGTGTTTAGCTCCCTCTATTACTTTGATGCGGCTGTTTTCTTTCAGCAGCAGATGGCTGTGATGGAAAAATAAATATTATTAACTTTACTGAGTTAACACTTTAAGTTGCTTTTACCTCTAAATGCATTTGCTTACTCTTTCCCATGCTGCTGTAATGTCTGCTGAATCCCATGTGGCACACTTATGACTCCTTTCACTAAATGATCACCCACAATCCTCTCTGCCTCAGCGGCCATTCCCAGCACAGCTTTTCCAAAGCCCACCAAGTGCAGGTTGTGTTTGAGCGTGAATGTGCGACCATCAATAACAACAGAGTCCTCCTTGCGCTCAATACTTTGACAGACCACAGTATCTGGCTGCACGGCTTCCACTGCAGCTGCAAACACTTCACGTGCCCGCGTGTCCATTGACATTTTGCAGAACGTGGGTTTTCTCCTCGCCACAAGATGCAGAAAAGGCTGAGACCGGAACAATGAAAGAACACGGGCCATTGATAATTCAGTGGATCTGAGCAGAAATGTCCTAAGGGATATAGAAGAATTGAACAGATTTTTAAAGAGAGCACAATTTAAACAAACCATAAATAACCTGCAAAGGAAAAGGAAATAGTCATGTAGAAGTCATGAAGCAATTATAATTAGAACTTTTTCTTAAATTTACTTTGTGTGCCTCAAATTCACCTTTTTTAAGAGCTTGTTTTGTGTTGTTCAGTCATCACACTTCTTGTAAGTCTTGTTTATGGTCAAGTCTGATGACTGCAGGAATACAGAGGAATACGTTTTGCTTAAATGTTCTGAAAACAAAAAGAACACCTTTTTATTCTTATACTAGCTAAAGCTGTACTTACATAAATGCATTTAGGTTTGTGTTTCAGTAGAGTCACGAGGCTGCCTACCCGAGAAGGTTGCAAATGTCATATGAAGCTGGTGTTTCCCTGTGGAAGCCTGCTGCGTTTGGACTCCAGCTCAGAGGTTAGGCAGTGTGGCAACAATCTGGCCAGACACTGGCTGGAGTTGTGTACCTTTGGTGTAATGATTGACTTCAGAGGATAACATGCCACATGAAAGTGCTGACACTGCAGCTGCGCATTAAGTCGTTTTTGTTGTAATTTGATTTTTTTCTGCCACAGATTGCATTAAACTCAGTGATACCCATACTTTGTTCATTGCTGTTAAACAAAGCAGCCTCTTGTGTAGCCACACCCGTCTTTAAGCCCTGTAGACATAATTTTAATTTATTTATTTAGTAGGGACAATGCAGTTTAACATAGTTCTGATGTGGAGCATGAAACTGATGTGGTGCAAATAGAGTTTATAGCTATTGCTAAATTCCAACCCTTGTTGGGCTTCTTCATTCACGATGCAAAAACAAAAATTACAACATTCAGTTACAGAAAACCATAATACACCATGAATACAAAACTACAAGAAATACACAGTAAAATAAAGTAAAATATAGTATAAAAAACAGAGAGAGATAGGTTGTGGATCTGGTTTTTAGGTAGTTTGCTTGTTTTCTTTTTCTTCTTTTTTTTACAAATGAAAGCTGAGCCACTGGGATTGTGGTATTTTAATGTGATTAGATGTACATGCTAGAAATCCAGACAATAATGACAATGTTATATGATGAGATTTTAGATTTGTTAAATTTGTAAAAAAACAAACAAACAAAGAAAGAAACAAAACAAAGAAACAAAATAAAACCCCTCAGAAACACTTACAGGTCGTTTTGTTAGGCACACCTCTGTAATACCACATTCTACCTCTTTCTTGCCTTCAGAACGACCTTAATTCTTTATGGCACAAATTCAAAAAGGTGCTGGAAACACCCTGGTGCACCACAGTTGCTGCAGATTTGTCAGCTTCACATGCATATCTCCTATATCACCACATCCACAAATTGCTCTACTAAGATCTGGCAACTGCGGAGGCCATTTGAATTCAATGAAATTATTGACATGTTCAAGAAACTAGTCTGACAAGATCTGAGCTTTATGACATGGTGAGTTATCCTGCTGGAAGCAGCCATCAAAAGATGGGCAATTTTTGGTCATAAAGGGATGGAGTGTCTCAACATTGCAGCAAAAATCAAGACTTGTGAGATCTGGAAACGTTCATGACAATTTTGGTGAGCCTGTATGAATTGTAGCGTGAGTTTTCTGTTCTTAGCCGATAGGAGTGGCACACACTGTGGGCTTCTGTTGCTGTAGCCCATCTGCCTATTCTGCTCACCTGGTTATAACCAGTGTTCTTTATGTAGTGTGACCATTCTCCCTGGAGTGTTTTTTTTCTACAGATGGTTGATGGTTGGGAAAGTCCCAGAAGTCAGTTTCTGAAATACTCATACGAGCTCGTCTTGGCACCAGCGACCATGCCCACCTAACTATATTTGCCTTAACAAGTAGCAAAACAGGTGTACCTAACAAAGTGACCGGTGTGGATAACTTAAATATCATGCTACTTTTTATCTCAGTAAATCAAACGCCTATTGGCAAATTATTTTTAATTTACCCCTGCATGAAATGCATTGGCATTTAGTAAAGCAGAATTCTTCCTCTACAACCAAACTTTAGAGATTTCCATTAAAAAATATCCACAAAAAAAAAAAACCCACGAGCGGCAAACAGAACATTTCACTTAATTAATCGTACCGTGGACTTGTCTTTCTGTGAGGACAAAACTGTCGTTGGTACTTTCTTCTTCACTTCTGCGTCCATCCTGCAAATCTAGAGGCTGCCAGATAACTGGACCCAACTGATAAACACACAAGGCTAACGGTGACAGCCAGAAAGTGCTAATGCGAATGCAAGAAGGCTTTGCTTTTTAAAAACAGACATTCTAAAACAAACTCGACTACGGTAGAGCTTTTAAAAAAAAGACAATAAGCTTTTAACTCCTAAACTGCATTTGGTAAGCAAACTGTGTAAATAACGGCGCTGTTGCTGGTACAATGCAGCTATCGCGATAACATCTTGCAATATCGCGTGGTTTCCTAGGCCCGAGTTTGTCAGGTGACGAATATATATGCGCGTCACTGACGTGGCGAAAGCGGCGCTTTTCCCTCCTCCTCCTCTCCGCCGAGGACAGAGAAGTATCCCAGGCGGGATTTGTCGCTGTGTTTGAACGATCCTTCTTTTAGGAAAAAAGGCCCCTTTCACATCTCTGCAGCTCATATATTTGTAAAGATTACACAAGTGACACTAGTGATTCGATTTAAATCAAAACGAGGGCGCGCTTACCCTCAGACACAGACAGGCCATCATGAAGCTAACGGACAATGTGCTGCGGAGCTTCAGGGTTGCTAAAGTGTTTCGCGAAAACACAGACAAAATTAATTGCTTCGACTTCAGCTCGAATGGTGAAACGATTATTTCCAGCAGCGACGATGACTCGCTAGTCTTGTATGACTGCCAGGAGGGAAAGTAAGAGCGAGTTCTCCGTATTTTTATTTTAACTTTGCTGTTTTTTTACGTTAGCTATTTGCTATGCTAACTAGCGAGGCCTGTGCTGCACTGCGTTAATGCTCAGCGTAAAATTGTCAGAGTGCAAGCAACATCAAATTAACAATAAATCTGTTAGATTTAGTGTCTGCAGTTATGCACTATATTAGCAAATAAATATATAGTCACATTGCTCGAACCAAACCCTTGACGTTGAAAGGACTGTTCTCAGTATGTGTGTGTTTTTGATGGGTTTGCGTTGATGATCTCTGGTAGGATTTACAGGGTCCGCTTATGTAAATATAATCACCGATAAATGTAAAAGCTCATGACTGAATGACAGAGAAATCCTTCATTGCTAGGAACCGTGTGCCCTTTTGCTGCGTTGTCTTTCTTTTTGTTGGTGGTGTTTTTTGGGAGGGTTTCGTGCAGCAGCTGCTTCATCCCATATTTCCCCTACGGGAGACAGTAAAGTTATTTTGTCTTAAACTGATGCAGTACATAAACACTTAAGATAAAGAGCACAATGCTCAGTTTTAATGAAATGTTTTTGGTGTGTTTCTTCACTGACAAAGGAGTTATTTTAAAAGTCCATATGGTTGTTTGTTTGCAGACCCAAGAGGACTCTCTACAGTAAAAAGTATGGCGTGGATCTGATCAGGTACACACATGCTGCAAACACTGTGGTCTACAGTTCCAACAAAATCGATGGTATGTTGATGCACAAGTGTTTTTTTTTTATTTATTTTTTTGTAGTTTTTGCTTGGTAGTGTAGTAGGCTTGAGGTTTTTTTTTTAATGTAATAAGATGTCTCACATGGTCAAAATAATAACAACAGCAGTGTAGGAGTAAACAAGGAGGCATGTTTGTTGTGCATTTAACATTGAAGTTATCACATTTAAGGTAAGATGATATGTGTTTCGATGGTTGGCGTGGACGGGCTGCTGCATGCCAGTTGATGACTGCTGGACTGACTGCTCACTTTGGTCTGAGGTAGTTGTTTGTACAGTTTGAGGGTCTGTGATTCTGCCCAATACAGGAGCTAACTGTACAAGTGACTGCCTTGCCCAAGGTTGAGTCTCCTCATCAGATCGACCTGTAATAAACTTCACGCGTGGAAGACAACATGTTTTGGGTTTTGCTCTTGCTGTCTTGTTTAATGTATAACTTGGCTGTGGGCTTCTCCTCCTTTTTTGATTATGTTTTTCTTTTTCTCCAAGACACTATTCGGTACTTGTCCCTTCATGACAACAAATACATCCGCTACTTTCCGGGGCATAACAAAAGGTGAGAACTGGATTTTATTTTGGTTTGAATTGCAGTGTTACATTCAAGGTTACCTTGTTGTAATTTTTTTTTTCTTTTTTGTTTGTTTTGTGACCAGAGTGACATCTCTCTCCATGTCTCCTGTGGATGACACATTTATTTCTGGCTCATTAGATAAAACAATCAGACTGTGGGATCTGCGATCACCCAACTGTCAGGTGAGTATATTTGGTTGTAGTTAGGTGAGCTCCAAATGTTGATATACCTGTATGCAACCTATTGTTTAATATTTGAGAAGAGCTGTATAACTGACACCGGCTTTATCATGTCACCTTGAAATTTCAGGGTCTGATGCACCTGCAGGGGAAGCCAGTTTGCTCATTTGACCCAGAGGGTCTGATTTTTGCTGCTGGAATAAATTCAGAAATGGTTAAACTTTATGATTTGCGGTCGTTTGATAAGGTAAGAGGCATTAATTCATTAGAGACTTTTTTTTGTTTTTTGTTTCGTTTTTTATTGGGGGGAAAAGTACTGAGTGGTCACCTATCGTCCACAGGGTCCATTTGCAACCTTTAAGCTTCAGTATGATCGAACATGTGAGTGGACAGGACTGAAGTTTAGCAATGATGGAAAGCTCATTCTTCTCTCTACTAATGGTGGAGCTCTGCGCATCTTAGATGCTTTTAAGGGTGCTGTGCTTCACTCCTTTGGGGTAAGAGACAAGTTATTACAACACAAAAAATTACTGGATAAAATAAAGCTCAAGTGTTTAAATATGAAAAATAAAAACCAATCCAGTAAAATGGATTCAACATGTATAACTGAATATACTGTTCATGTACACTCAGGGTTACAACAACAGTAAAGGTGTAACACTGGAGGCTTCATTCACTCCTGATTCTCAGTTTGTTATGATAGGTAAGTTAAGATGACCGCTTCTGTCTTGCCTTAATGTTTAGAATAAAATCTTTTATTGCATATATTTGTTAGTTTGATTTATATGTAAGTGGCATGTAAATAAGCAAATTAACAGATGTACAGAAACGTACCCCTGAAGTCTGTTAACGATACATGGCGCACATTCTGCATTTTGAAGCCCAGATTTACTAACAGGTTGCACCAGTGCAAACTTGATTTTTTTTTTTTTCTTTTCTTATTGTCAGTACTTTTAGTATTAACGGTTTTTTAACCTTATTGCATATGTATTTGTAGAATTAGTAGAATACTGAATTGCGTAAACCAATCGAATAACGTTTTCGACATGCAGTTTACCACTCATTGCCTTGAATACTTAACACCATAATAAAAGCTTGTTTGTTTTTGTTTTTATGCAGCTGGAATTATTATTACAAATAGATGGGGCAACTTATTTTTAATAGAGAGACACCTGTGTACAAAAAACATATATAACACATTTTATTTAATAGTGCCTTTATTACTGTAGTAATCCAACCTTTTATAACTGGGAAAAAAATCCTTGATGTCATAATGACACTATCGCAATAACAGCACACACACAAAGCTGACTCTGCATTCTATTTACCTCGAAAGTCAGATGTCATAGCTGGGAGTGACTTCACTCTCGAGATTCTAGGAAAAGTGAGGAAAAGCAGGTTTTGTGCCCTGGCAAGGTAGAGCCATTCATGCATGACAAGCAGCACTGCACAGTGCGTGGTGTATTTCCACTTAAAAATACCACCACAGCACTTTCATGGATGGTGTCCAGTCGGTGGTTTGCAGATAGCTTATTTAGCGAGTCACAAATACACAACAGTGACAGTTAAGATCACAAGTTTTACATTTTTACTTCTGCTTGCATTCACTGTTGCTGAGTCAGGTTGGTGATTGATCTGCTTGCTCTGACATTATTGAGTTTAATCTTAAAAAAAATGTAAAAAGTAATTATTGTCAACTTTAGAGGACACAGGTATCGTGGGGATCACAGGAAAAACAAGAGTTTATTGTTTCAAACAGGACCTTAGAATTTTTCTTATATGAAGAAATAAGATTAGGAAAATATTCCAGCCAAAGTTTTCTTAGGTGGAGCCTGTGAACCTCGAGGTTAGTGGATTTCCACAGCCGTTCTACCTTACGACAGTTTCTTTTGGATTTACGAATTGATTGATTTATCCATGAAGTGAGTTTTGTTAGTGCTATGAAGGCAGGTTTTATTGGTGCTGCTACTTTAAGAATAACTGAGCAATGATTATTAAAACATGTAGCAACATCAGGGCAATCCCTCAGCAAAGATGGATTAAACAAATCAGAGAACTTCTGAGCAACATCCTGAGTAATAACTGGCTTTACGATTCTACATTTAACTGGTGTTGGGTCCAAAGGAAAACTAAGGTTTAAAAAATGCACAGCAATAAACAATCAAATGAATATCATTAACACATAAATTACTGATATTAAGGCCAAGAGAGAAAACAACATCCAAGGTGTGACCTTTTGTGTGTGGGGGACCAGAGACATGTTGAATGAAATTAAGCATTAGTAATGGATAGAGTTAGAACACACTTGGACTTAAAACATTAATATATAATATACAGCATCATGAGTTTGTGTGTGTCTGATATCAATTGCTAATGAGGATCATCATGAAAGATTAATTGATCAGGAAAGAAATAATTACCTGTGATATTTACAATCAACAGACTTCAAGGTGATGGTTGTGGGGCACACGTATAAACACTAACACCATAACCAAAAGTGTAGGTTCTATACTGATCTCACTCAGGACTAGCAGAACAGAAATGAGATTTGATTTTGCACTAAAATCCACCTTAAATGAAATTAAGACAATTGTTAAAACGGTGTGAGATCAAAGGAGACAGGCTGAACATTTATCACATTTCTGCACACCTGTTTCAGGCTCCGAGGACGGAAAGATCCACGTGTGGAACGCCGAGAGTGGAATGAAGGTGGCTTTGTTAGACGGGAAGCACACGGGCCCGATTACCTGCCTGCAGTTCAATCCGAAGTTCATGACGTTTGCAAGCGCATGCTCTAACATGGTCAGTGGAAGCAGCAATGTGGGCTTAGTTGAAAAGACAACAGCCCAGAGAATGTAGCTCTGCTTGGTCTTAATTTTTATGCTGGGGTTGAACTGTGGGATAGTTACCAGTATCCATTTATTTAAAAGAAATAAAAAAAAAAATAAAAGCCTGTTTATTCTTTTGTACTGCTGGCACGCAAACGGCTTCATATTGATGAAATGTAACCAGAATTGTTCATATTTAATCTTTCAGGCATTCTGGCTCCCCACCATTGATGAATGATGACAGGAAGCAGAGTAACCAGCAGGGGTCATCGCAGTCAGCTCCGTATGGACCTGTGTGAAAAATCAGATGAAATTTGTAAATAATGACTTTACAGAAATGATCAGTTGTGCATTCTTTTTTTTATAAATGTTTTTCTATTTAACATTAAAGAGTTTCTAAGAAGTTTGTTTTTGGCTTTTGTGTCTGTGATTTTGAAATGAGTTGGATTTTTAGAATGGGAGGGTTCTACAATCACTGCCTACTTTATTAGGTAGTACCAGGTTGGAGCCCCTTATTGCCTTCAGAGCAACCTTAACTCTTTATTGCATCAATTCAACAAGGTGCTGAAAACAGTATCAGTAGAGATTTGGGTTCATATTACAAAGACGGCGTCACACAGTTGGAGCACATTTGTCTACACCACATCCTAAAGTTGTGGAGGCCAGTTTAAACCAGTTTGAGATGATCTGCGCTTTGTGACACGGTGTGTTATAATCATGGAGGCAGCTATCATAAGATGTGGTCACAAAGGGGTTGACATTGTGTAGCAGCAATACTTAATCGGGCTGTGGTGGAGGGGCACTACCAGGAGCCTTAAGCACCAGGAAATATTTCGTAGTCTTTACACAGATGGCTGTAGGCCATCTGCTTCAAGGTTTGAAGGTGATGTGTTCAGACATGCTCTTCTGCATACCTTGGTTGTATTGAGTTACTGTTGGCCGTCCTGCCAGCTGAAATCATTCTGGTCCTTCACCTCAAGTATCTATGAGGCCTATTGTCGTTTTTGTTTGTTTTGTATTAGAGATGGCTGTGTGGGAAAACCAGCCTGTCTGCCACCAACAACAACAAAACTACACTCAGTCTCTTAAAATCACCTTTCTTATGCATTCTGATGCTCACTGTAATCTGCATCAGGTCGTCCTCACCAAGTCTATGTGCCTAAATGCATTGACTGGCTCATTAGAAAGTTTTGTAAATGATCATTTGAGCAGGTGTACCAGTCATGGCTGGATGAGTGTATTAAGATATATATTTACAAAAGTATGACTTTAAACTCAATTATTAACGAGGGTTTTCTTTGGCGTGTTTGTCCAGAAGGACAGTTCAAATAGACACAAGGAAAATTAGTTGAATTTGATTGTTTTTCGATCACAATATATTTTATGAGGTGTTTTATGATGTTTGCGCACCGTACTGACAGAATTTGAGCTAGTGCGGGGCTGGGTTTTTATTTTCGTTTCAACTTTGATTTAGTGAGATTGACTTTCAGGTGTAACGTGATGTAGCACAAACAGCTGGAGATATTTTTAGCCTCGACTTGTCAGATTTAAAATATGTTTCTCAGACTAGGAGAGTGCTGTTGGCGTGACCAGGTATTTAGAGCTACAAAAACATCTTTCACAATCTGAGACATTAATGGGCAGTTTTTCACACCGTAACTCAAATTGTTTCTAATATTTTGTTGTTTTTGTGTTAAATTCTAGTAATAGGTATAGCATTGGTGTGGTTCACTCCCACATGTGTTAATGGTAAAACAACAGCATCCTACACAGTCCTGCGTTGTGACCGATAATTTGCCCGCAGCAGTAAATATTTACCTCTTTCTTTGTAAAGATAACTTCTTCAGTCATTCAGAAGTTGGTAATCAGGTCTGGAGGTCATGCTCTCTTGCTCCACTGCTTGGTCTTGGTGTGTGGTGGGCTGTTCACAGGCCGTAGCTACTCAGTGGGAGCTAAATTTAGGAGAGGTGATCAGGTTCTCTCTCTCTCTGTGCACATGATACTGTCCTAGTTACTTGAGCAATGTCCCTTCTCATACTGTCGCACACTTTCAACAAACCCAGACGCACAGTGATCCTCTTCTTCAGGAGCTCTGTCCTCGTACTCATCGATCAAGCGAAGGACGCGTACACGCCGGACTTTGGTTGGACTTGAATAATTTCAGCCTGGCCCTGTGGAGCTTTCACTTCTGTCTCCTGCTTCTGTGTCTTCATCCTACAGCCAGCCCCTGGCGGGAGAAAAACACAGCTGACCCGCCATGTTTCTTGCACTTGTGGTGACACCAGAGTTGAGGCAGTTCTTGGCCAGGGCAAGAGGTGGAACAGTGCGCCTCATCAAGGTGCGCATCCAAGACGGTGAGTGACCAAGGACAGTGTAGAATGGAGATGCCGAAAATAAAAACCTCAAGAGGACCGACATTTTATCATTTTAAACCAAGCATCGTGTTAGTTTTTGTGTCTCTTTGAACACACCAAAACTCTTCTTCTGTCTCCTTTGAAACTGAGCTACAGACGCAACTAAGATTTCTTCTTCTTTCATAAACAAATTGTTAGTTCTATTTAATGTTTAAAAATGTAAATCGCAGTATTCTGAAGCCTGAGGTGATGCTTTTAGCTGCTCTGGTTTGTCTGAAAACCAGCTAAACTGAGATGAAGCACAGGATGATTTTAGTTGGAGAAAGTCATGGAAAGAAAAATGTAAGCAGTTGATCATTTGTCTTATTGCTAGAGGGCTAGATCATTGACGTCCGTTTGTGACCACTGACCACTAATAAGTTATCTCCCTGATCATCTATGAACAGCTACACTTTGTTTCCTGTAAAGGACTCCCTTTTTTTTCTTAGAGGCCAGGAGGGTCGACGAGCCTGAAAACATTTGAGCAGGACTTTTAGAATTACCCTGAAATCGGCAGTAAATGTGTTCCTAACAACCTTCTGGGTTTTTCATAGCTGATGATGGTTTCTCAGATCTTCAAGTCATCTGTGGATGAAAGCAAAAAACAAAGTTGGGAATTGCAACACTCCGTGTCTGACGTCTAGGAAAAGCAGACTGTTGGCAGCTGCTGTGTGACAGCAGTCACTCAGCGTGTCAGCTGAGCAGCTTGTGGAAACAGTCAGTTTGGCAATAGGTGTCCGGGTGGCTGATTATGGAGGCAGACAGAAATGTTCATGATGTGTTTACGCCTTGTTTTTGGTATCTGATCAATGCCACGCTGTAATTTGATTCAAGGTGAATGCATTCTGGGCCTTTTACTAGTCACTGGTTAGTCTAACCAGTGACTAGAAAAGACGAGGCCCTCCACCTACGAGTGGATAGTTTAAATGCAGTTTTATACTAATATGGATCTGGGGAGATGGGAGAGACTGGCTGATGGAAAATATGTGCGTGCAGAGCTGGAATGCTTTACAGCTCAGAATAGCAGCATGCCCCCAGAGACAGTCAGGAAATCCCCCTGCACCCCTGAGAAACATCAGACTTTGGGTTAATGTGTGCGTTTCAGAGTGTTTGTCACTGCTACGGACAGATTTAACCCGCTATCGTTGTGTCAGTCAGAAATGAAGCCAGAGATATTTTTAGCACGCCGTTGCTCTTCTCGTTCTTTCTCCATAGCAGTTGGGGCTCTCAGAATCACAATAGTCATGTGGCTTTATATAGGATGAAGTTATTTAGTCCGCATTATTCCCACATCCAAGTTTTGTATCGGAAATTGCTGCTTTTCTGTAATATGACCATTCTAACCATCTTAGGAAGGAAATAATGAGCGTGTTTCTCACGGTTTTCTCTTTCTGATGATAGTGGATGGCTTCAGAGAGCACATTTCTGAAATTTTACAGACCAAACCATTAATCTTTTCAGTTTAAGTTCTGTCTTTCTTCACATGCTTTAGTTGTTTATAAAAAAAAAAAAGCGCTCTAACTCTTTGAAAATGAGAGAGACGTGATTGGAAATGTAAGAAGCTATTCATCTCTAAGAAATTTTATAGCAATTGTTACACAGACCTGAAAATGAGTTGTGTTTCAGAAATGTTGGAAAGTAGCGAAAGAGTACACATTTGGTCAGATGTAACGTTTCTCATGTACTATAAATAGAGAGGCACCTTCTGCTGTAGCATGCTGCTGAATAATTAGCCAGCAACAAGTGAGGTCAACTTCACCCTCGTGCTTTATAATCACAAACAAGAATCCTTCGTGTAAATTTACTGTGAGTGTGGACTACAGCGTCTGAATGTGCTGTGTGAAGGCCGTGCTGAGGTATGTGATGAGTAGTGGTCGGATTTTCAGAGCAGCTGGTGCTGGGGGCCTACAGAGAGCCAGAGAAGAGCTGGGACCAGGATTATGATCGCTTTCTGCTTCCTCTCCTCGATGACCAGGAGCCCTGCTACATCCTGTACCGCCTAGACTCCCAGAATGCACTGGGCTACGAGTGGGTCTTTATTTCGTGGTCTCCAGACCAGTCTCCAGTAAGAAATACCAGTTTTCTTTATTCTGTGCCAAAAAAATAAGCCACGTGAACACAGAGTTTCTGAGCTTTTATGAGAGGATGTATGGCTCCGGGTAGAGGGTAGTGACAGACTGAAGCAGAGGTCACAACATCCTTTTAACTTAAATTTTGATATTGATCCGATACCATGCATCAATTCTATCATGCTAGTATCAATACCAGCACTGGTATCAATATTGTTGATATTTGGATCTATTCCGCCACCTCTAAAAATTAACCCCAATGACCTGAATAATTCCATATAGACATTTGAAGCATACTATTAGGCCTTTATTAAACATGAAACACAGCTAAGTTTAATAATTTTAAAAAACTTTATTTACAAAAAAAAAAGGCCTAATTTATGAAAGGCTATCTCAGTGCTAGGAGATCCTAGCAATAAATGAATAGATCCTCATCTCCATTAAACTAACTCTGCACTGTCTGTGATCATTCTTGCTTATTTATGTGGGCCCACCACTTTAACATAAACTCCACACTTTCAGAATTTTAAAGCTGGCACATTCATTTCCCTCTCTGACGGCTGCAGGTGAAACAAAAGATGTTATATGCTGCCACGCGGGCCACAGTGAAGAAGGAGTTTGGCGGTGGCCACATCAAATACGAGCTATTTGGCACAACCGAAGTGAGGACCAGCTAAATTTATACCTCTCCGATGACATGTTTTGGCAGCTTCCTGTAAAAGACTTGCTTGTTGTGCTTTCAACACTAGGAGGACATCTGCTTGCTGGGCTACCAGCACCACGTGTCATCCTGCTCAGGTCCTGCCCCGCTCACATTAGCTGAGCAGGAGCTCCAGAGGATCAAAATTACAGAGGTAAAAGGTCAACAAGCTTTCAGGCGTACTGTCGTTATTGCAACACAGCTTTGCATGTGAGCTGCTTCTTCTGAAACATGAGCT